AAAAAAAAGAAATTCCACATTTCTCCAGACCCCAATAAACATCTAAAACACTTCGAGGTCTTTCAGTCTGGTAGCTTTACTTTTTTCTCAGCCAATCAAACCAGTGAGTTCTAATTGTAGATGCGGCTCTGTCTCATTACAACTAATAAGAGGAATAGAGCCATAAAGATAAAGAAATTAAAAATTCCCTCGAAATGTATTCAGCTTCACCTTTGTATTAATTTAATCACTGCTCTTTTTCTTCTAAGAATTCACTGCTAACCTTTACAAAAAAAATGCGGAAAGCTCTTAGAAAAATGCTCCCTAAAATCATTACTAACTTAATGCTTGGTGAAGGGGCCGAGTAGCGCAATATATCTTCTACGCAATGATCATGTAAAGTCAAAAATAAAGGAATTTCCACTTCATCTCTCCTCTTCGAGCCTTGGGCAACGACTGCGTCATAACTGTATCGCTTGAAATAAACAATGATGCACCTATAACTGAATCTGTGTGTCAGCAAAAGCAGTTTTGGACAAGTAATGAAGAAGTTTAATATAACCTTGGAAGCTTTTCAAATTTGTGAGAGACCTCCGAAGTGCTGGAACCACATTTTTCGCACCGACAATCAACTTTTTCCGTCTTCAGACAGTCATCAAGAAGTGTTTGCACAGAACAGTAAGGCTCATTTGCCGAACTCCTGGAACAATTTAGCACAACTTTCACCCTTTACTATACAGACAGTATAGAAACAAAGACGTCAGTGTAGTCAAGTTTTCTATTGACTATTACACGAGTTAAAATAAACGGAATTCGGAATTGCTTAACAGCAAACCATCTATTATCTTCATCTGTAGGAAGGTGCATCGGAAGATCGTTAGCATCCTCAGACCGTTTCGCAACATTCCCACAGCTGGAAGGAAGAAACTGCAGCAACACACAGTGTGTACGCCCAACACTAGTTGAATGGTAGGAACGATCATAAAAATGCTGAACAAGACCCTTACTTTTCACATTTTATTTCATGACGCAATGTGAAAGAGAAGTTGGAAGTAACTGGGTTTGAAATGGTAATCAAATTCCGATCTAACTCCGCAATCTTCTTCAAAACAAAGTCCGATTCATCTTTCACCTGGTCTAGCACTTGTGACAAAAACTCCTGAGCATCCTGTAACAGAAATTGTTACTAAACGCGCCCACATCCGTGAAAAAAATAAAATATTCAATAGAATCTCAAAAAAGAAAGAAAACAAACCTCCTGATGATATCCCGAGAACCTTACTGCGTCGGATTTAACTGCACCTTTAACATTGTGAAGTAACCTTCGCTTCTCTTCATGAGAGGCCTTCAATCTTCTGCTTGTTAAATCCGAAAGTGCTCTAAATAAAGCTTTCTTTGAACCTAAATCACGAAGCAACTTTCAGGACGACATTCTTTTCCAAAAGAGATAATAACAATTCTCAACAATCTCAATTCACGGTTTTTCAGTAAAAGAATTCTTTGGGATATTCCAGTATCCCTTCCACTATGAAACTTTAGCACACGAACTTTCTGCAAAGATCAAGAGGCTTTAGGATGAAGATAAAGAGAGGATGAGGGTAGGAAAAAGTACTTGATGAGAGCACTGTGGCAATCTGAACTTACCTTTTCTGAACAGCATAAGAATAGATCACAAACAACCTAAACTGAATAACTTAAGCAATAAGTTGCTCTATATCGCTTTTTAGCTTTCTAAAAATATAAAAATGTTTTCCTATTTAAAAACAAAAAACATTATTGGTATCGCAAAAAACAGCCCGCCGTCTTTAAAATCTAACAAGTTTTGACTAACAATTAAAAGTTAAACAAGAACTTCTAGTTTAAAGGAAAACTGACTTCTCGTAGCCCATCAATCAGATGTAAAGTTATCATTAAACTGAAACGCTCAGAAAAAAAGCTCAAGAAAAAATTTAGAGGCAAAAAACGAGAACTCAAAAACTTATAATCGGTTGGTGATACCTAAAGCAAGAAAAAAAACTGCCGAAATTTCAAAATATTGCCATACATCCTGAGTAACGGAGCGAGTCACGAGGGAAAAGAAACTCTGAAAACGGCCAAAAGGTTCTCGAAGACGTGCTACAGTTAGAAGCTTAATGATTAGCCTCATGTGTTAATTTGAAATGCGCCGGGACTAAATATTACAAAAGTGAGTTTCCAGATAAATCGTGTATAAAATCAGCTAGGCTTTTGTTGACACAGTAGAAGATTTAATGTTTTACATACTTTTGAAACAGCTAATAATTTGGCTCTAAATTCGTGAAAGTCAATTACCTACTGTTTGTTAGTGACTTTTAACTTTTGGTGAAGATTGTAATATCTCAATAAACTACCATTAGATCGTTTCAACCCTCAGTAAAGCAAAAATGCATCAATATGAACGTAAAGATACGAAGGAAAGGCAACAACAGATAATTTCGAAATCTTGCTAACAAAAAAGGTGGAAAGTCGACAGAGGTTTTGAAGCACAAATTTAAATTACTGTCTGCAAGCTAAAAAAAGCCATAGATTAAAACTGCATACGACATCATAACAGCATCTTCAGCTTCCGAAAGCTCGATGCTCCGTATTTGCTGAGAGACACGATACAATTCTTTTGAAAACTCGTCGACACCACAAATTGCTTGCAAAATTGCATTCATATAACACGTGTTTCCCAAATTTGCAAACCTGCAATACAGAAATTTCTAATTTGTAAAAAAAAAACGAACAGTATAAAAGTTCTTCAGAGCTACGAACAAGTATTCATCTAACAGAAAGAAAATACAAGGTGACAGGCTAAAATTATTTTAGCAATGACATTTAATAACTTTAAAAAATCTCAAATATTTTGTTCCTAATATAGTGCAGCAGCAATTTTATAGTGTTACCTAGAACCACCGTTTAGAAAATAAATCTATAAGCTAAAAAATTGAATTTATTCCAATAAGCCATAAAACGAAAAGCAAATGGTAAAAGTTTGCTAAGTTTAGAGAAATAAGACGTAGAAAATTAAATAACAGCTGCAGCAAAAAAAATTAATTCTCATCACAATCAAAAAACAAAGATACAAAACAAATTTTAAACTGGTCTTTCTAATAAATTCTAATGTAGCCTGTCGTAAAAAAACCTCAAGTTTTACCCCCCACGAATGACTTGAACTTCTTCTCCAAGAGAAACAGCTTGTGTTGCCACCCTTGTCTTTGATGGGGACTGACATAAAAGAGTATCGTCCATTCCTTGTATGCGCCGTCTAATGCTACCCAAGTTTTGTGTTGAAGTTCCCCGAGAGTCATTTGTATCTTCCTAAAAATTCGCAAGTTCAAAACAACTGTAAATGAGAGAAAAGTTAGTAAAATCAAAATCTAAATTTCATTAAGTTTGATGACCGTCTAAATAAAACCTCTTCTGACTCTATGAAATTCTGATCAGACTTACTTGCAGAGAGATTTCTTTGAGCAAAGAACGAGCTGTTCTTTTCAACTTACTTCCAACTTGCTGTGCATATTCGTTGGAGGTGGAACTAAAGAACGTCGGGATGATATTTATACGAACAGAGTAATTTTATGAACGCATTTGATAATCTGAATCTTCTAGTGAAAGAAAAAAGGAAAAAGGAACACAAAACTGAAAAATGAGAAAACGACTGTAGAAATTACGAAGGTTTCCCAGAAGAATATCTGCTTGTGACTGGAGTGGACGGAGATATATTTTCACTGTCATCTCCTGAGCTTCTGACAAGTTTTGGTGAACTACTTTGAGCACTGTAAAGGAAAACTATAGCTAAAACAATTGGGACAAACTACTGCACAACTCTTGAAGACTGTCGCTCAGCAGAACGATTCAAAATATGTTAGACACTGACTTTTCACGGATAGACTCTGCCTGTAAACGTGCTCCAGCAGATAACGAACCAGATGTAAGAATCGAAGTTAGAGGACTATGACGTGGTACTGTACGTAACGCATTCTCCATCAGAGATACTAGAACAGAAATCAAAATACTGAAAATTTAATAAATAAAAAAGACAAGGCTATTAAAAAAAAATCAACTCTGAAAGTAGGATGGCTACCAGTATGTTTTCAAAGACTCGCAGAGCCTACAAAGTAAAAAGCGTCGTTGATAAAACCTACCGCGACTCCACCCATCACTGACTTCTTTTGACTTTTCACTCAAAGTTTTCTCCTTACGTGCCAAAAGCCTAAAGCTTGAAATTAGAAAGTTGAAAACTCCATCAGTTCCTCTTAACAAAGGTATCCCGAAGCGAAAAAAATGAAGATCCAACTTTCTCAAAGAAAATATATTATGCAGCAAAACACGAATAGTGAAAAAGTGGGATTTTAACCTCTGAACTAGATTTACAAAGCTATAAAAAAAGACAGCACAAAAAAGTTAAGTCTGTTACTACGTGTTCAGTTGGAAAACTTCGGAAAAGGGATACAGTAAATCATTATTTAAAATAAATAGATGGGAAATATGCATCATAATTTAACAAGACCGCTTTAATTGACTGTGCGTTTGCTTTTGAGGAGATAAATTAGACTTTACTGAAGTAACCCTGAACAATCATTTCTTGTTCATCTTCCGACAATAAAAAAATTCACACCAAATCTAAGTTTAACCAGAATGGAACTAATCAACTCTACAACCCAAGAAAGAAGTTGGCTCACGAATATGGAGATGCGAGACAAAAATTTGCTTCTAAGCTCTACATAAAGAAAGACTCACCAATCAAACATATTAAGAGCACATCAACCGACTTTGCTGAGGACAACTAAAAACCGGTTATGAAAGAAATTGCAGAAAGATCATAAGCCTACTCTGTTTCGCCAAAAACCCTTTCTTTTACTAAAAATACCTGAACAAATTAGAGACAGACCAATTTAACTACCAAACTACAACAGTGATCACGCACAACGTATAACCTAATCACACCATGGAGAGGGCCTTAAGATATAAAAGGAAAGGAAAAAAATAAAAGCAAAAAAGGATCATTCAATTTAATGACTATCATTAGGAGACAAGCTACTTTCAAACTACAATGAAATCATCCCTAGGTACATTTATGAGAAATAAAAATAATTGTGGGAAGAAATTTCAATCAAGCTACTAAACAGTACCCGGCGGAGCCCGAGGTCGTTACGTCTGATCGACTATGGATCAAGCCCCGCATCCTAACTACATCTGAACTAAATGTTGCTCTCGGCTCTGAAATTAAAAAGAACTTTTGAAGCAGATAATGTCTTTGAATACAAAAATTCAAAAAACTTAATGAAAAAACACCTTTGCAAACACAACCATTCACTGGCTCCTGAGCACAAGAAATACCCTATTAATACAACAGTGGGACAAAACTGATAAACTAGAACAGAGCCATTTACTTACTAGGAAGAGAATCGGTCATGTACGGGAAAAACTCGAACAAGGAGTTGACACTATCGAACTCGCAAAATATTTCATAATCATCGTTACGATTTACTCGGACAGCCAAACTTAAACTCTTCTGCTTTGGGAGAACTTTAGGGAACTTTGTAATAGACGATAACGGGAAGTGCTAAAAAAAATAGTAAAGCAAAAGAACCAAGAAATGGAAATCTACATATAACATCTCCCAAATTACCTTATTCAGGCTTTTTGAAGTTTCAAAAGCAAGACTAAGTTCCTTTTTTTTCCGGTCCACTGTTATACGGCATCGACGCTGCGTCGGTATTGCTCGTGCAGCTTCACCACACTTGTGTAAACGAACCTGTACTTCCCGTTATCAAAATATTGGTATAACAGTCATTAGAAGCAACGATTTTTTAGATTATCAAAATCATAAACACTGTTCCTAAAATATGTTCATTCAAAAACTACGTGTTTACCACAGAAAGCCTTTTAAAAACGAGGATGACTAAAGATCATCGAATTTCTTCCTAATATAAATCAGAGAGCATAATGAACCAAGAAACGGATGCGTAATACTGCTGTGATGCCCAGACTTTCACTTAATAGCCATTTTAAAGCCAACTTGAGTCTTAGTTTTCGATTTTACCGGTAATTTTTTGCTCTACGTAGTGTGTAATAAACTTGGTACAATTGTAATCAGCAACAAACCTACCTTGGCATCCCAGGCTTTTGAAGCATCTTCAGCGCTCATCTTTCAATAAGAGTATGCCAGTTCATTAAGATTTCCTGAAAATTTCGATCAAACTTTAATGCAAATAAATAAATACCATCTCACTAACGAAACTTCCTGGTGCGCTATAGAAAAAATTTCACAAAATAATTTAAAAGTATGGGCGAAAATTGGAAAAAGTAACTGCTAAGCGAGATAATGTAATATGCGTTCAACATCATCCAATCAGTGAACACAACTAAACCATAAGGGATGCCCAGCTTCAACCTATCCACTTTTTCAAAAGGAACTCTCCTACTTGTTTGTCCCATTAACAAAACGTCCACTTCATTCGGAAAAAAATACCTATTTACAGGCGCCGTCATTTCCAATTTGGTGTGAAAATTTTTGCGAGCAGAGGAGCCCTCTTCTGGAAGAACTCCAAAGGTTTTGGCTCAATGCCAATGTGTATTAAGAAGGCAGCCGGGTCTTACCCGACTCACTTCCGTAAGAGTGTCAAGTTTTGTTTAAGTTGTGTGCATGATGTGCTGTTAACGTTTTGTTTACGGTTATTCACTCTTTCTTTATTTCAAATTTCTCGTTGTTTGGTCCACTTTCTGCCGAGATATTGCCGGACATTTCGGAGGACTTCTATTTTTAAATGTTACTTTGTAATTTTTTTACTGTTGTAATTTAATTTGTATCCATAGAAATTTCTTGTTTTTCTGTTGTTGTAA